TGAACAACTCAGAGACATCAAGAACTCCTTGGCTGAACATGTGAAATTTGACAAGAAGGCTGTTTCAAATCTAACACTATAAAGCAAAGCCAAGTGTTGCAAAACAGCAAACCAGGCACTTAAAGATGGAAAATATCGGCACTAATTCCTGAAAAAGGAAACTTCAAAGAAATCACCTCTGTGATTTCAGAAACCAGTAGCACAACAAAATTAACTCATATTCAGCACAAGTTGAATATATATCACCCACATATATATGCAGGGATATTTTGGTATCATGTAATACACACAGAAAATCTGGGATGGACTTCTGGGTGACTGGATGTATTTCCCCTGTACTGGTCAGCACAAAACCAGGACTCTACACAGGCATTAGTCTTCCCTTGTGATCAGTGGCTTACTAATTAAAGGAAACTCAAGGATACCCTCACTAAACTGACACGTTTAGTAAAATATTAAAGCAGTGCTGTTGAATTGACACATTCTTCTGTTATTTATATGACAATACACTACTCATTGTAAGTGTTAACTGTAAGAATCCAGTTTTCAGAGGCTCTGGCAGGTATTGAGGCTTAGAGTGCAGGAGGCTATTACATCCCAGAGATCTCTCAAACTTTAGCAAGCAGAAGGAGTGCCAAAGGTGCTAAACTTGAAACCCTGAAGCAAACTGCTTGAGATCCAAGGTAGTTAACCATGTAAGGTACTCTTACAAATAGGGAATGCTAAAACTGTAGGGCCTGAGACAGCTGCTTAGTTTACAAATCAGTGTTTTGTCCAGTTGTGAAAAATAAATGGACACAATTATGACACCACCATTTGCTTTTCTCTGCTTGCATCCTAAATCTCATGCATTTTTGCAGAAATTTTTTTTCTGATCAATATCATAGTGAAAGCAAGTAATTCAGGCATGCAATGAGTAACTAGTTTTTTGATCACTTAGGGTTTTCTAACATTTTATAACTTCTGCTGGCTTTATTTTATGCTTAGATGCTCTAAACTTAAACTCATTAACAGAAAAAAATTGATGTTTAGCTCTTTGGTCCATACACTATGAGCCATGAAATATGGTTCAGCATTTGTGACAGAGATTATTTTATTACTTTAAACACTAAGATCACAATTATTTATTGCTATTTTTTTCTGTTTTCCTAGCATTTAAGTAAACCCCATGTTTGAATCAATCAGTTTTAATGTGTTTAATGGCATGAAATACTTTTTCATGGTGCTGCAGAGAAACATATCTCATGATCACATGCCTTTGGCAATACAGCATTTGTTTACAGGAAAAGGCCAAGTATTTCACGGACATTTGCTCTTTTGGATGTATGCCAGTGGCAGGAAACAAGACAACACATGGGCATTTACATCTCACAGGAAGAATCCCAGTGGATCCAGTGGATCCAAAAATGTGAGAATCCCTGACCCACACATGAAGTAGAGTTTAATTAATAATGTGGAAATAATATATGCATACATACTACTGCCCTTCTTCCACGTTACTGTCTTTGAGGGTAACATAATTGTAGCCCAGCTTTGCCCAGTGTTCTTGACCTGCAATAAAATTTCTTTTAGCTCTCATTATGTTAGTTAGAAAATAATGTTAGAAATGGTAGGGAAATAAGTAACTGATTTAGCAAATCCACAAACAGATCGACATGTTTTTACTTATGTTACCATGCTCACGGTTCCAATTATGCTACTTAAGTCCTGGTCAGAACCGTACACCAAAACCACATCTTCATAAAAACTCTGAATTTGGATACTCTGTATTTTTGAGACATTTGGATTTGGATTCTGATCTGCACTTCATGTCTAACTTAAGTCCAAAAATAGTGAAAGTAAAGCTCTGATTTAAACACCCTACAACATTTATATTCACAGTCAGAATGGAAATTTCTAACTTTCTGGTCATTTATCCTTTATTGAGATGGAAATAAAAATAATAGAATAGGAGCAAATATGACAGAATAGAAAAAGGAAAAAATCTAAATAAGGTTGCTTTCGGTTTTGTTATGTTATTATTCTGTATTTTCAGCTTTCACCCTTTAAAAATCTAAAGAAATACTTGGGTTCATGAGACAAAAAATACAGTTCTTTTACACTCTCCAGAAAAACAAAGCAAAGCAAAGCAAAACAAAACAAAACAAAAAAACAAAACCTGAGATATTTAAACCCCAATTGTATTTCATAAAGAATCACTGAAAAGATGAAAGTGCACCTAATAGTCATATATGTCACTGTATATTGCAAGTCAATTTTATTGGGGTTGATATATTACTGAAAATGTATCAGTTTGTGTTAGACAACATTTTGAAAACTATTAAGCTGGTAAATACAGACCTGATATGACGTTAGAATATACTAATCACTTCCTGAAACCATGCAGAGGACACTATTTATGACAGTGATTTCCAAAAATCCTAACAGTGTCTTCCTTCACCTAGAAGCTGAAGTTGTTTTAGTTGCATTTCCCCTAATTTTTTCTGTGTTCGGTATTGCTTTAGCTTGTATTTACTGAATGTGCACTAACCTAAATCCCTTGCAAAATAAACAAATTTGCTCTTTACAGAAGAACATTCACGTAGAACAAGTGATATGAATTGGAAGGAGGTCATGATTTATAAAGAGATTGAACACTGTAAATAAAAATATTATCATGTGTGTGCGATACATGACCCCTAATTTGGGGATTTACAGATTGTTGTATTGAAAAAAAGCAAAACAAAACAAAAATCAAAGAATGTATTGCCTGCAAATATTGTGGTACTGCTTTTCCCACTGTTAAATAGTTTAAGTCAAATCTATTTTTTATCATATTTTTTCTCTTCCACACATTACAGTTTTCAAATTCTCAAATTATAATGCCATGAATAGTTAAAAAAGCTCTTTTAAAAATGTCCATGAGACTCTTCTGAGTATTTATCCTTATTTACACGGTACATACTTTGTGCAGATGAAATGTATCTCCAAAAATCTCTTTAGAATTGTCTTGAGCAGTATATTTCTCTAGTTCAATTAAAAAAAAATATTTAAGTAGAATAAACCAAATGAAAATAATTCAATGCATCATGAAATGACCTATCGCTAGCAACAGTTCTAAGTAAGTTATGCTAATCTAGTTATGGAAATAAAAGCTTTTATAAAAATCTGTCAAATGGCAGATTTTATACCTTATATAAAAGCGAGAACAAAGCCGTGCCGCAATAAAACCAAAACCAGAAATTGAACTAGACCCTTGGGGACAAGCTTGTAAGTACTACCTGTATGAGAACAACCCACAGGAAGAATTTACATCAAATTTGCTTGTGTGTTTGCTTGTTCCTAATACAGAACAAGTGTTTTGAGAAGCCCAGCAAACAACTGCAGCATAATCCAGGTAGGCTAGCATTATCAGATGGGCAAGAGTAGACTTTTCACTCCTGTCTACACGCAGTAAGAATTAAGCTCAGAGTTCCCTTGGACTTTGAAAATCTTAGTAATGTCTTTTAGACATTTTTCCATTTAAAAGGTAATATTAATTTAGAAATTCAACTCACACATGGATAATTGAAATATCACTGTTACTCAGAAGCTCTTGTGTATGTGACAGAGGACTAAAAGTCTTTTATGGCAACTACTATGTATGCAACGTCTCACATTATGTATTTACAAAAGGAAGCAGTGTTCAGAGATTCAGGATTTAGTTTAATCCTCTTTTTTTAAGGGAAAAATTTACTAAAGACAGGAACAGAAATACTTCTTGCTACACTTATAAACAGAGTTAGCAGACACAGAGAAATGTTTTATTGATAAATATCTGAAAACTTTAAAAAATTAGCATTTGCCTTGAGTTCTTCTTGCTTTCATTGTGCATATTCTTGATGAGAAGATAAATATGCTTTTTGGGGCTGCAGTGGAATCTATAATTCAGTTTAATATTAAGTTCTTTACAGAAATTGCTTATACATGATTAATATTTTTTTTAAAAATAACCAGTTATTAAAAGTCCAAAATTATCATGGACTGCTTATAACACCATTATTATTTTGTTATAGAATTGATACCTGTAACTATCAATAACATTCATCCTTTTCAACTCTACAACACAGCTATGAAGTCTATTAATCATGCATTAACCTGTTATAATTGGAACTTTACAGTGTAACCAAATTTCACCTCAAGTAATATGTTTGAAGTTCTGAATGTAATTCTTTATGATATAGGGAGTTATCAAGCACTGCTACTTGGTATGTAAGACATCTACATACTCATGTTCTTGGTGTGAGAACGTTTCAGTTTAATTAGTCTAGTTCTGAATATTTTTATTCTGATAATGTACTTAAAATATAAAGTTATGTTTTTAGAAATAATGATATGTACCATTGTTTTTACAGCTTTTTGAAAAGGAAAAAAAAAGCTCAGAAAATATAATTTCTCAAAAATAAATACCCCAAAACTTTTAGTATTATGTTTCCCCCTTGTAAATAGCACAGCCATTTGCAGTATCTCCTCCGTTTTACAAGAAAACACTCTTTAGGCATTAGAAGAGGTTTTGGTTAGTAGTCAATGATGTGATGCTGGAAATTATTTTGTAAAGAACATTCTGAGGTGTAAGGTTTTTGGGTTTGTTCCTCTTGGTATATGGTTTTGCTGGATAATGTTGTTTAAAAAGACAGACAGGAAACAAAAGCAAAGCAAAGCAACAGCAAAAAAAAAAACCTCCCTGGGACTGAAATACTTTGTATGTGTTGTTATTTGCAGTGCATGCCAAGACATTCATGGGCACCAGAGCCAACCTGGCGAGCTAATTAAATATATAAATGTATGTGTTTAAAACAGCCTTATAAGGAGCATTGGAAATCTGCAAGATGAGCGAATATCTTATAACTTCTTCCGCAGGTGCGAGGATAGCTACAAGCCATGGACTTTCTGTCCTGCTTCTTGTTTGTGGCTTTGTGAAGGGTGCTTTGCTTTAATCTAAAAGTGCTGACTTTTTCCAATATCACTTTCTCTTCTTAAAGCAAAGAGCAAATCGCCTGTAAAATCCACGGAGCGGACAGCAAAGTTGACCCTAACCTCCAACCACCACTCTGCACCCAATGTACTCTAAATCTCTACACAAGGAGCACCTTCTTCAGGAAGTACAAACAAAAAATACTAAATAAAATATACAAATAAATAAATATTATAAAAAGAAGAGGATACCATGTTTTCTTGATATATCTTATTTTCTTTGGCGTATCACTGATCATTTATTTGAAGAGAACTACTGTGATGTAATAATACGTTTTGTAAGAGCAAGACCTAGTTTCCTTTTCTTTCAGCAAGGAGAAGCCTCATCTTTGACTTCTCAGGGGTTGGCCTGCAAGTCATCGCTATTACAGACTTAACCATGGATGACATTTGATTTCCTACACTGAAAGAAGTGTTCCAGCCTGGAAGCAAACAGAGGCCAAATAGTGAAACAAAATATAGTGATTCAACATCGACCCCAATAAAACACCACTAACTTTACCCTTTTTTTTTTTTTTTGCATGAGGAATAGAGAGGAAAAAAAATCTAAAATGCAGCTAAGCAGACTAGAGGACATTGTTTCTGGAAAACAAATGAAAAACAAATGAAGATATTTTTCTTTTGAGTTGTTTGGGGTTTTTTATTATTCTTTTTCCCTTGTGGTTTTTTTCCTGTCTTTTTTTGTTTGTTTCTTGTTCAATGGTGCCAATTACTGACTTAGGCCAACCCCTGATGATTGCGTGGAGGTTTATATATATATATCATTTTTTTGTGTGTGCATTCTATATTTCAGTGTGTTTTCTCTAATTTTGCAACTCCTGTATATGCAAAACTAACTTAAATTCTGTAAATTGCTTACGGTCTGTGTGATATAACTTCAGAGTAGACATACTTTGGTCCTCATGCAAGCCAGTTTTTAATAATATCTATATGTCGTGCCACCAATACACATCTTTATTTCCTTTTTCGACAAAACATTACTTTTTAGTTTGTAATTAAGTACTGTGTGGATTTTGTAATACACACCTTCACTTCACTGGTTTGACTCCTTTCAGCCCTCTGTTTACTCTGTAAATGCACATTAAAATTTGTTATGGTCTCTAGACAACGAATTATTTTAGTTTTGTGTATGTTGTGTTGGAGTTCAGATGCTGAAAGCTCTTTTAATTTGTCATGTTTATAGAGGCTGAAATGCTAGAGACTGTAAAATGCAGGTCTGCAGTCAAATTCTCCATGTAAAGGAAGGTTAAAAGGGGAAAACAGACAAATAAAACAGAATATAGTTTAAGGGATAGTCTTTTGTTAAAGAGTTTTAGAAAAGTGAATTTTTTACACTGATAAACTATATTGTCATCACAGCTCCTTCTACATGACCAAAGAAGTGTCTTTCTTTGCTTTTTCTGAAAGTGGATTGTCATGACTCATTGATATTCTTAATTAAAATACTTTATGTCTGTGAATTGTATGTGATAATTTTGCTGTTGAAGGAAGTAATATGCATTACATGAATTACATTCATTAATGCAGGAAGGAAAAATTGTTACCATTTGCAGCTGCAATCAGGAAAGATCTTTTTCTTGTTCCCTTCCTTCCCCTGATGCTGAACAATCCACACCCCTTCATTTATCAGCACAGACAACCACATATACCACATGCTTGTTATGATCTATTTACAGCAGCATTAAGTAGCTGCAGTGTGGTCAGCTGTGTGATTTCTCTGCATTTTTTAAGTAATGTAGAAGGAAGTAAAAAAGTATGTTTAGCATCTTACTAGTCCATGGCCTGCAGGCCCAGCGTTTTATTTGAAAATGCTTGTAAATCTGAAGTATTGCCCATTTATTTCAAAGGAGAAAGAATAAATAGTAGTGTAGAATCAAAGTGTAACACACGCTTTGGAAGAGGATAACATCTCTGTGCAAATCTTTTTTTCCTTAACAATACTGTTTGTACTATAAGCTTGGGAATAGTCAGTTTTTCTTTGGTTTTAGAAAAGTCTCAGCAGTAACAAAGAGAGTAGAAATTTGGTCTAATACAGACAAATCATGAATAACTGTCAGGAGAAAAAGGGAAAAAGTTCTTTTATTTCAACATAGCATTAATGATTCGCTAGGAATATTGTGTATTGAAAAGGTTTTGCTCCATAGTAACAACAGTTTATCAGCCTACTGACAAAGAAAATAGAAACAGACCCCATTAAAGTGCTCTGAGTCAAAAGCAATATTGTGGATCCAAGTCTCATTTTCTGAACACACCTATGGAACCAAACTTTTAGAGCTCTGGAGAAAAGGTTACATTTTCCCCGTGAAACAGATGTCTATGACTGGATGCTGTGATAATCTCCTGTGTGGAGTTTGGGAACCTCAGTTTCCATTGTTCTTAACTGGAACCAAATGCTTAACATCACACATGTTTCATATGTTTACTGTATACATATATCCTGTATGAATAATCTGTATGTACACAGTTATATAGACATCCTGCACTGATATATAGCATTTCTCAGAAGCAGTTTAGCCTCACATTGTTAAAGTTAGCCTCTGATTACAATATTAAACTGATACTGTGTTTTGCTTTATGCTGTTAGTTGCCTAGATATAAACCACCATATACTAGGAAGTAAGATTAAAGAACCAGCTGAAATTAAAAGCGGAATTCTAGACCATTCGGACTAGTGTGGTACAACTCAGAAGACATTATCAAGGAAAGTGCCATATTGTGATCTGCTATTCTTTTTCAAAAGTATCAGCAAAAAATGGACAAAAGAAATCTGTAGGACTTTTGAAAAGCCTTTAAATCTTTCATGAGATGCTAAGGGGATACAGTATTTGTCCTCCTTCCCCACTTCCCAAGATCATAAACTCAAATTCTTCAGAAGAGTCTGGTCCAACTCTTCTGGCTGCAGATCTAGAGCTTAGCTTTACAATTTCTGCCAAGCTGTATGGATGCAGCAGCAACATCTCCTAACAGGAGCAAATATTGCATTTCTAAATTCAATGCTGTGTCTTAACAGCCGTTCTTCAAACCAGGAATCTGCCTGAAGCTCCAAGAAACTCTAAAAATGGAAGTTAAGCTGCAGTAACCCCCCTTTTCCCTAAGAATTTAGTTATGATTAATATGTGGTATAGGAATGAAACTATTGCCATTTTCTGCCCTGGCCCACTTCTAGTTTGGATTTAATGCTACTAGAGAGAAAAATGGCTTCATTATATCCTCAAAAGCTCCATTGAGTTGGGTATCTAAAAAGACAACTTGCATCTGGCAGTGGCAAAATCTCTCAGTGTCCTTAACCTTTCTACAAAAATAATCAAGTTTTGAGGTGGTAATTTACCTGACGTGTGCTTCTCACTTGGTGTCCCCAAGGTCTCATTGTATATCTGACTTTCTTCAGATTACTCCAACAGTTTTTGTTTTTTAATAGAAGAGTAAACATGGGTGAGTATGAAACACTTTTTTTTTTTTTTATTTCAAGGTATATGCCATCTAAATACAGCTCACACACTCTGAGATGTTATAACTTGTGAAGCTAAAAGAAACATATTACAGCTCCATTAAATGTCATTGACAGGTTTTGTATTACATGAAAAGAATTCTATAGCACTTTTGTACTACTGTCAAGTATTAGTACTGCTGCAGAGCCTGTCCCACAAATTCTCCTTCTTTTCAATGGTAGTATTTTTATTATTTTCTCTCATGTTCTTTTAATGTCTGGAACTTCATGCATGCAAGTTGCTGCATTAACATGTTTGAACTTTCTTAAATGCCTTTTGTAGATTCTTCAAATAAATTTATGGAGCAGGAGGAGTGCTCAGACCCATGCTTAAAAAAGCATGGCAGACTAATTTAAGATTGACTGTTTGTTCCTCAGAACTCCTGTTAAGAAAGGTACTAGAAAATCTGAATGGTAAACACTGAATCTATCATGAATTGTTGTTATTTCTTTTTCATTTTCAATGCTGAAAATGTATACTCCAGCACTACCCAAAGGCAAGATCAGAAGTAGGTATAAGCTTATGAGGCATCACAGCAAAAGCAGTAGGACTGCTTGGAGGTTCATTCCTATGCACGCAATTCAGTGCTACTAGGATTTAGGATCAGAATACACACTAGAAACAGTTTTTATCACATTTATTCTTTAAAGTTTTTTTTGCTTTTTTCAAATAAAATGAGGAGACAGTGGCCACTGCAAAAATTTGAACGCTTCCCTAATATTTTTTCAGTGTTAAACATTTAACTTCTAATGATCTCTATAATTATGTCATCATAAAAAAGACTGGACTGATGCCAGTCTTCAACTCCTTCCACAAAAAAAGGAAAAGGAAACATGTGTCCCTGACAGTACTATTGGTAAATGTCAAATGTTGTTTACAGAGCTAAAAGCATTAAGAACCAAGAATGGGGTCAACATAGCTGGCAATATAAATTTTTAAAGGTTAATATTCCATGATTAGCTTAGCTAAACAATGCTAAGCATAAAGTAAATTGCTTAGTGCAAGTCACCATAAATGGCTTCAGTCTCTTGTTCTCAGCTTCCTCAACATTGATTTATTTGATTTCACAGTCATAAAGTTTGCACATACATTCGCAGAGTTGAAAGATTATACATAGTTTTCCTAGTGCTCTTCATCTAAACAATACAGGAAGACAAGAGCAAAGAAGTTAAATTTGTCTGTAATAATGAATGACAATCAATTGGTAGTGTTACTTACAATGAAAGAGAAGTGTGCTTTCTTGAGAATCAAGTGTAACTGCAATCATCTCATTTTGTCCTTTTAGTGCTATTCTTTTTTTGCCAACGTTTCGATCTAAATAACAAGAAAATACTGTATTTCTTACTACTTACTTCTTACAAGGTGATAGAGGACAAAATAATGTAATCTTTGTTATGAAAGAAGCTGAGGGGAAAAAAAATCTTTTCATTTAACAACAATCTACATGTTTACAGTGTCCTATGACCTCAAAATATCTCTGCTTGTAGGTTTCTGGGGAAAGAACAACAGAGAAAGTGTTTTGTGTTTCAGCTTGATTTCACAGCTCTAAGGGTGTTCTCAGTTAATTGTCAACCTACAGCTAAGGACAGGACTCTTCTGTAAGTTTCAAAAATAAAGTAATTTTCCCTGTAACTGCTGGTGACAGATTGGTTTGAGTTTTGAAATGATAAATACTTGCAACTCAGAACATTTTTGCACACAGATATAAATGTTACAAGGAATAGCAACTACTAAAGCCATAAACAAGTCTGGAAGAATATCACAAACTAGCAACCTCTCAAGTTTCAAAATATGACAAACACTTTAAGCAAAAAAAGTCTTTTGGTGTGATTTTCTTTTAAAGTTTTATTGTAACCCACTCTTATCCATACAGCTACAAATACTCTGGATTTGAATTCCAACTATATTGTGCTGTCAGTACAGAGGGCCTCCAGTTGGGAGTAAATGAAATTTTCACATATTGAAATGCTCCTTTACATTGACA